TAATCTGCGCGCGCTCAAAGGAAAACGTCAGTGTTTTTCGATACTTTATTACGTCAACATGAGCACAAAAAAAGCAAAACTGACAGTGAATTTTCTCGCGTTTCCTTCGGTGAAATTCCGTTAAATTTGGCAGATTGGTAGTAAATATTTTACTTCAGTCGGTGCTCGTTTTTCAGGCAAATCTATAAGACCAGGTTTTTTGCAGCGGTAAAAGACATGAATTTGAAAATATCGAAAAAACTGCCTTTACAAACCCTACTTTTTCCGTGTTTAAAATTCGTATCCCACTGGAAGCGATGTCATGTAAAAAGTTTGGAAGATTTCACCGAAGGAAATTCATGAAAAGCACAAATAAAGCCATAAAAACAGTAAAAAGCACATTTGTTTGGGCATTAGTAATTCAAGACTAAATCCCCAGATTTTAACAGAGATGATAGAAAAATACTATTTAATCATTGCTTATTACATGTAATAAGTTTGAGAGGACTAGGTGAGAAAGCGAATGCAAAAACAGCATTCAAAACATAACACTTGCGCGCGCAACGCTATAAATGATTACCCCATGGAGGCACCTAAGAGAATCATTATATAATGGTGTTTCATTATATCGGGGTTCTTTTCCTCACTATTCATCACTATAGCTCTGTTCGTCAGTCGTTGTACTGCTAAGCCGGTTCGTTATATGGGGGTTCCACTTTAATAATGGAATATCGTATTATGTAGTCGACGATTGCTAAACGAGCAATAAAATCTATTTTTTCAGACACTTCGATCACTGGAAAATTTCTCCCATCTAGCTGTGAAGGTTTTGTTGTTCGCTTTGGCAAGGTTTTTAAATCACTAAATGACCGGCAGTCTGATATTTTTCTCAAATTTAACGAATCGAGGGAAGCCAGCCAATTCAAACTATGATATGTCGATTAAGAACTGTCAAGTGATTCAGAAGAGCTGTATAGATCGCAAGTATACCACTGTGTTGAGTATGTCTCCACCCTTGCAGGAAATAAAACTACTCTTACACAATCTCAAAAATTCAGGAGAGGTCTGAAAACAGCATAAGTTCTTGCCTCCCTTGTCAGCGAGGGTGGTATGTCTACCCTCACTGAGTCTTTGATAAGGAGCTGGAAACATGGCCATGAGGTAGTTGTTCAGGAAGTGGAATCAACACCAAAGACAAAAACAGACCAGAAAGTAGAAGACCCTAAGAAAGTAGTAACTGAACGTCAAGTGATAATCACATTACAACAGAGAGGCTACGGGACGAAAGTCTGACTGGAAACGCCGAGGAAAGAGAGCTATCGGCAGACAATTCCCCAATGAGTGAAGCAAAAGACAATGTACAAAACACCAGACAAGCATGTCATCGTGTAAATAAGAATACTGCGGGAAACCTAAAAGAGGACACTGTGAAAATAAATGACGATGACAGGGATGGAAAAAATTCCCCTGAATTTTCTCAAATAAAGATGCCACCCAAGATTCTAAAACGAAGTCGTCCGAAAGGAGCGGAAGTGACGGTTATTGGCCTTTCGAGAAAAAAAAAAAGAAGAAAGAAAGACAGAAAGTCGTAACAACTTAATTCCATTCTGTAGGCTCAGTCCTATCGAAAAAGACAGAATGATCCTTGGCTCTCTCTCGACATCACTGGCCGTGGGTAAAGCCATAGCGGATCATCGGTTTTTGGCCAAAGACGACATTTTGCCTGTTGGCAAAATATCAGACACTGTCAGGGATGGAGAAATAGTCGACATCCACCGCGTTGAAAAATACTTTGAAAAAGATGCATGGTTGTCCGTTCTTGAACCAACAAAGGAGAAGACCCGCGTAGACTTTGTTTGTTCTGTTTGCGCAAAAATGATAAACGACGAAAGTGAAGACAGCATTGCTTGTGACAGGTGTCTCCTTTGGACTCATTTTACGTGCACTTCATTAAAAAGTCGACCAAAGAACAGAAACTGGTTCGGCAAATCTTGCATAATTAAATACTCATAACAATTTACACGAGAGTATTTTTCAGTGTACTCCTAGCTCTAAGATTAGTCGGTTATTAATCAAAGTAATGGGATTTTCCCATAGGGACCATAGGCAGTGCACACATGGGTGCTGCCTATGCCTCAGTCGAGTATAGCAGCTACAGAAATATTGTTTTCATTATAAGTTTTACTTAACATATTTTTTCAATTAGTACTGTTTCATTTTTATGGAAACGGTTTAATATTTGACGATGACAGAAGTTTCTAAAAGTTTTTCTGGCGCTAATTGGCTTTTAAATCGTATTTGCAATCATTTCATGTTTTTCATGTAATTAACTGTAAATCATCTTGTGACATGAGTTAGACTAATGATCTATAAATATCTGTGGATCGCTTTGTACTTCTTATTCGACATAGAATAGTTTGGATATGACCCGTTCGATTTCCTAAATTTGTTAAAACTATCGTACTGCTTTGAAAACCGTGACCGGCAGTCGACCTAAGCACCACAAACCATGGGTTTACTCTCTGAGCCGACCGTTATAATTGCGATCTATACAGCTCTTCTGGATCGCTTGACAGTTCTTAAATGTGATAGTTTGAATTGTATGGATTCCTTCGATTCCTTAAATTCGGGAAAAATATCAGACTGCCGGTCATTTAGTGATTTGAACAGTGACCGGCAGTTGACCGCAAAAAAATTACAAATGTCACAAACCATGGTCTAGCTCTCTGAGCCGAGCGTGAAACAAGCGTTATACTTGCGATCTATATAGCTCTTCTGGATCGCTTGACAGTTCTTAATAGACATATGATAGTTTGAATGGGTTCCTTCGATTCGTTAAATTCGAGAAAAATATCAGACTGCCGGTCATTTAGTGATTTAAAAACCTTGACCGGCTGCCGGTCTTCAGCCACAGCGAACAACAAAACCTTCACACCTAGATGGGAGAAATTTTCCAGTAATGAAAGTGTCTGAAAAAATAGATTTTATTGCTCGTTTAGCAATCATCGACTACATAATACGACATTCCATTATTAATGTGGAACCCCCACATAACGAACCGGCTTACCAGTACAACGACTGACGAACAGGACTATAGTGATGAATAG